GTAAACTTACAGGCTTATCCCCAGATGCTGTAAATATACTCTTAACCTATTTAATTTTATATGCTATAGTGTAATTTGGATAGTTAATGTCATATATCAATTTTGAAGCATGTACCCGTCCGTGTGATCATGTGTACAAAAACGTGCGGATGCAGCTTTGTTATCAGAATGTAATTAGGGTAAATCTTTAGCTTTGCCCTCAACTATCAGGTTTTTATGACCCATTTTTAGCGATTTCTCTGATTACATATTGTTGAAAATAAGTCTGGCCTGAATTATAGCCTTTTTTGTGTTTGTGTGTGTGTTTATGTGTTCGCATGTGCGGACTAGTACGCAGAGAAAGTGTGACCATAATTGAAATTAATACAAAAGAATGATCAGTTAATGTTGGAGTACCTCTTATTTTGTGTGAAGAGGCGAGTGGAAGAGATTATAAAATTGGTGTCACCGGAAGTCGAAGGGGGATTGCCTTGGAGCTGTGACGAATAAGTCCTCGGCACACCATCCTGCCGCCCTGATGAATCCTTACTGAGATTTCGTCCGTCATATGACGAAAATGGTCAAAACAATATGACATCCTTTACGATAATTTATCAAGGATAAAGACAATAAAGGGATGCTTCGAAAACCAGGACATACAGAAAAAGTCTTGTCTTTGTGCTTGATGAATTGTCGTAAAGCATGGAGTTATGCTCGGACGATGTTCGTCACATGACGGACGAAAACTAAGCTAGGATTCATCTGGGTTACAGGGCCACGCGCCGAGGACCTATTGATGGAAATCTACGGTCACCACTTTAAGGTGACCTTCCTTCAGCCTCCAATGAAGTCAACTTACGAGGTCTGGTCTTTTTCGAAAGCCACATCTACCCTATGATCCAGTATAGTATTGTGTTTTATATATGATTTTTCGCATTTAAGTATTGTTTCCTTCATTACCTTAAACGAAATTGGGTGAATACATCTCATATTAAATATATGACATTTAATAGAATTGCTAATCTTACTTATACCATCGTGGAAATATTTAATTATTCTTTTTTCATAACCTTTTGTAACCTAGGCTGAATATAGTTTGTATTTTCGGGTTTAATCTAAAATATCTTGAGCAATAAAGGATATAAAGACGGAAATAAAATTACCTTGTTTTGAAGATCAAGGAGGATGCTTCGAAGAGAAAGGCTCCTCTTTAGTCTTATCATAATCATGGTATTATTCAAATCTAACAAAAGGGAAATCAATTTAAAATTTTCAAATTATGAAATCCAAGATTACCCAAATTGGTTACTCTGAACCTTAAACAGCATCATCGAAGAAATGTATAAAAACTGGTTATCGAAGAATCCCTTTCTTGTCTTTATGCTTGGTGAATTATCGTAAAGCATGATATCTTGCTCTGACGATTTATGTCACATGCCGGACGAAATCTCGCCAAGGATTGATCGAGCCGCAGGGCGGTGAGTCGAGGACTTATCCGCGAAAATCTAGTTACAGCTCAAAGGCAATCTTCCTTCGACTTCCAATGATACCAACTTAAGAATTCCTTTCATTCGCCTCCTTGAACGAAATGAAAGCTAGTCTAAGCTCAATTTATCAAGAGATGCTTCGATAACCCGTTTTTCTAAATAATTAAGACAGATCATAATTATTACTATGAATTTAAGCTGATGACTAAAAGAACTCAAGGTGTCCTCTTTCGTCTTCTGATAGCATTCCTCTTGGAACCCCTTCCTAACACACTTTAATTCGAAATGTAATCGAGCTCACAAACCCTCAATCCAGAGAACCTCTTGTACTAACTTTTATTGGTATAGCCTCTTGTATAGAAGTAAATGTGACAGAATTTTGAGAGGATTCCTGGAACTCTGAGAGAAGAGACTTGCTAAGACGTCTTCTTTTTGGAAGTGGCTTAGGACCTTTCTATCTTTGGGTCTATTAATCATATTTAAATGTTCATAGAAAGTATGTTTCATGACCATCAACAAATCTTAAACAAGTGTTTGAGACACCCTAGGTTAATCTATAAAGTGATTCTTTGAAAAACAGTAATTTTACATATCACTGATTTTTAAGTCGCCCCATTTTTCCCTAAGATTATCAAATAAGCATAAGTTGTCGTTAACTTTTTACCCGCAATTCTAAATTTCAAGGTATTACCTAATCTGTTGATTTCAAAGGACTACCTTATTTCTTGCTTATTTGCAAGAACATCGTAATCACACAAATATATCATTGGGGCAATTCTATCCCATGATCTATTGCTGCCCGTTGGTTCACTACATCCGATTGAACAGACACCATTGTGCACTACTCCACTTTGCGAATGGTCCAATCAGTCCCTCTATCATGAAAACGATCACATGAACACAGTAAATTATAGCAACCAGATCTGGATACTGGGTTAGATTTCTCGCTAAAAGTGGGTAAAAAAGGTTGTTGTTATCTTTCCTAGTTATTTCCGACGTGAGTATGTTGAAAGGCACTCGTGGATTGGCTCTCTGGGAACCAAAGGAGTGAATGCTGCAGGGTTGTTCAAATAAATTCTCAGCTCGGCACGCATGCATATAAGTCGCAGAACAAGCCTTCTTCGGTTTCCGGTAAGGCCAATGCACTGAACCCTTCCGACCAATTTGTCTCTTAAAATTAAAACTCGAGTTACATGTATTTTCCGTCACACCCAATGAATTTTATTTTATTTTCAGTAATTCCTGATTAGGCCATCTAGGCAGTGTTGCTGGTTTAGGGTGGGTTTAGCAGATCGTTGAGGCTCGAAATTGCAGCCCAGATGGAAGAAGAAAACCTTTTATAAAGCAAACCTAAGTAAAATGCAATGGCTTTGTGAGGTCTTCTACTCATTTCATCATGGGAAACTTCAATCAGCACTCCTTGAATCCTCTTCAGAATGACTGAACATCTTGAAACTGAGTGCCTATTTTTCCTTCGACTCTCCTCTTCCGACCACCTCTCGGCGCCTGAAGCACTCAGCGAGGAAGCTTATAAAATCTACAGCCCTTACTGGAGAGAAGCTACATGACGCGATAATCCTTTTCGTCCCCTGCTGTTAGTTTGTGAAAAGGCGAACAATTCAGTCACTGGGACATACTTCCCCGACCACCAACTCGGCCAGGCAGTCGGAAGTACAGTCACTGGCTCAGCTGGATTACCCATTTGTCATAACTACCAAACGGAGGCAGAAACCGGGGACCGAAGGACATGGAGCTTGCCGGCGGCATTCAATTCGGCCTGGCCAGGACCAGTACAAGTGGCGACTCATGATGCTGGTGCCCAAAACTCGGTTGCGGGCACAATACGAATGGCTAGTTAGACTAAAGTCGTGCCCGGCCTCAGTACAAGTCTGATCCTCGATTTAACCTTAAATGACAGGCGGTTGATCATCGTCGATAAGGCCCAAAAGAGGATTACATCGAGACAAGTAGGGTTTCTTCAACTTGCTTAATTACCATCTTTATTA